CGCCGGAAATCCGCCGGAAAATTATTTATTCTTTTTTTAGAAAAATTATTTAATTATCCGCCGGAAATTCGCCGGAAAATTGTTTATTCTTTTTTTAGAAAAATTATTTAATTATCCGCCGGAAATGGTAAATGTTTTTAGAAAAATTATTTATTTTTCCGCCGGAAATGGTAAATGTTTTTAGAAAAATTATTTAATTATTTATTTAATGATCCGGTTATAAGGTTAGAAACTATTCGATTAATTATTGTTTTAGCGACACAAAATGAGTGGACAATCCATCAAATGGATGTCAAGTCAGCTTTCTTAAACGGTCATCTAAAGGAGGAAGTGTATATCGATCAGCCACAAGGTTATATAAAACATGGAGAAGAGCACATGGTATGTCGTCCAAACAAGGCACTCTATGGGCTAAAACAAGCACCACGTGCTTGGTATAGCCGCATAGATGGTTATTTTTTGGAGCATGGATTCAGAAAATGCCCAAACGAGCACACACTTTTCATCAAAGAACTCAATACTGAATTATTGTTCGTCTGCTTATATGTGGATGATTTAATCTTTACGGGAAATAGTTCAAAGATGATTCAAGAGTTCAAAGACTATGAAATCTGAGTTTGAAATGACTGATCTTGGGATCAGGGGCGGAACACAAACTTTCTAACCGTAGGGGCCGGAACTAGCATATTATATATCTCAAAGGTACCAAAAATACATTATCCAAAGTTATAACATAGTAAAACTTTAAAACTAAACGTTAAATATAAACATGTGAAACATCGCAAATCAAAGTGGAACCCGTCTATCTTTCGCGACCTTGAACTCATCCACAATTTCCTCCAAACTAATCTTCTCAGCTACTTCCCTTTCGATGAACAAAAGTAACGAGTCATTTAGAAACTCATCATCCATTTTATTCCGTATTATTGTTTTCACAATATTCATTGCTGAAAACGATCTCTCGGTTGTCGCGGTAGAAACTGGAAGAGTAAGTAATAGACTTATTAATCGATAAATAAGATCAAAAGTGGTTTCTCTTCTAGTCCTTACCAACCATTGACCCAATGCTGAAAGAGATGTCAATTCCTTATAATCTACATGTTGAACGACATCAATAGTATAATGCTGAAGTTGCATTTTCAGAATTGTTCTCTCATGATCACTGAAATCTTCAGGATAAAACTTCTCTACAAGTTGTCGTACATCAAGACWTCTAAAAGTCTCGTACGCATTTTTAGGATCTAGAGTTGAAGCAAGACAAAGGATCTCCATGGAACTATCACTGAAACGATGATCTAATT